TTAGGGTTTAGGGGCCTTGATGATATAAATCCTGCCTTACCCACTATCAGGAATATACTATAGTTAGTTCCCATATTTTAGGGTCCTTAAGGTAATGCAGGGTTTATATCATCAACCGTACAGTCATTGGCAAGTCGTAGCGTCACCATGTTCCCAAGACAGCACCAATTCTGCGGAGTTGCTTAAAAACACGTTCCGTTACATCTTTATGTGGGTGGTTGTCAAAATTATGGTCCCTTTTGGAGTACCCTGAATAATAGGCGCCGTATTATAATAAGGACCCAAAAAGGGATCATAATTTTGACAACCACCCATGTGTTTAAACGTCGCGTGGCAAGGAGGTGGACTTCACTCTGTCCTTCGAGGTTGGGGAGCACATTGCTCCTGAGGCAGCGCGCAGCTGTAAATTGATGTCGCGGCTTTGAGCGTCCTCGGCCCTTATGATAAAGGAAGCCTGGAATACCAGAAATAGCGGGTATTCTGCACTCTAGGGTTGTGCCCACTGAATTGCATGGACTCTATTGTGTTTCACGCCGCTGGATCATTAGGTCTCAGGCAAAACTGAGTATGCGCAACCACTGGGGTAGTTCTCTACATTGGGGTCCCTTTCTAGGTCCCCAAAATAGTACGGCACCCTTGTAAAAATGACCCTAAAAGGGACCTTAATGTAGAGAACTACCTACTTGTAGCAGGCTGAGGAAGCCTTCCTCCGCACACTCCGGCAAGCCCGCGACTCTTTGATTCTTCAGAGTGGCAATGTCATGGTTGCAGCTGTAGCTTGCTAGCAGCACAGCCAGCACAGCACTCTACATCCGCAGAAGGCTGGAGAGGAAGGTAACAGAGAAAGGGCGCTTTCGAAGGACCAGCATATATAAGGCTTAACCCTTCAAATTTCCTGGGCGCCAGTGTGGCAGGGGCTGGCTGTAAGGTGGAGCTCTGCCAACAGTCTGCAGCATGTCGTGTCAATTCCAAAATTTCCAACAGCTTCCCAGGCTTGCTACATTGGGAAATCCCACATTTGCAGAGAGGATGGTTGTTAAGCAAGCGCAAGGGTTGCAGAAATGGCGGCACAACTAAACTCTAAACTCTAAACCCTAAACCCTAAACCCTAGGAGCGTCTGAAAATTTGCTTACTTCGCTTTCCCGAGATCTAAGGAGGGCATTGTCCTCGCGTGGGCAACGCCTGGACAGGCCATGCTTCGCTTGCTGCGACAGATCAAGCGGTTAAGGTTTAGGGGTTTAGGGTTTAGGGGTTTAGGGGTTTAGGGGTTTAGGGGTTTAGGGGTTTAGGGGTTTAGGGTTTAGGGTTTAGGGTTTAGGGCAAGATCGTATTGCTCAGGTGTGCCCAAGGTAAAGCCATGTCCTGAAGTCCTAAACCCTAGATCCTAAACCCTAAACCCTAAACCTGAAACCCTAAACCCCAAAATCCCCTTAAAACCCTAAGCCCTAAACCCCTAAACCGCTCTGCAATCCTTCACGCCTTCACTGTGTCCTAGAAAGAGCGCCAAAAGCAGGCGGGACATGGCCACGTGAACGGGCGATGGCAAAGATACCTGAGTCTTGGAGGGTTTTGGATTTGGGGGTTTAGGGTTTAGGGGTTTAGGGGTTTTTGGGTTTTGGGGTTTTTGGGTTTTGGGGTTTAGGGGTTTAGGGGTTTAGGGGTTTTGGGGTGTTGGGGTTTTTGGGTTTAGGGTTTAGGGGGTTTGGGGCTTTGAGTCTTGGCAAGGCCACGCTTGGCCTTTGGGGTTTAGGGTTTTAGGGGTTGGGGGTTTAGGGTTTTGGGTTTGGGGGTTTTGTGTTTAGGGGTTTTGGGGCTTAGGGTTTAGGGTTTAGGGGTTTAGGGTTTAGGGTTCACGGTAGGCTTTCCCAGACCCCTGCGAGGATGTAGAAAGTAGATCCCTGGTTCCTCCTTTGTGGTAGGGTCCCAAATTAGGGGATCTACTTTTTGATCCTTCCGGGGGTCTGGGTTAGTGTTCAGCCTGGGGCCGCGAAGTCAGGAGTTGGGACGCCTGACATGGTGGGGGCATCTTTCTTGAATCAGGCCCACAGACTGTAAAGGCTTGTCATGGAAAAAAGTATCAGAATCCCTAAACCCTAAACCCTAAACCCTAAGCCCTAAACCCTAAACAGTCGTCAAGCTTTCTGCGCCACATGCAGCTCGAGCTCGATCTTTGGGGCCATTTGCTTTGAGAGGGTTACAGGATCTCAGGGGCTGGTGGCCAACCCCAAACCCTAAACCCTAAACCCAAGGATCCGCGAGCTGGAGCAGGGCCACACGCGCTACTGCCTGGCCTTGTCGCACCAGCTTGCGCAGGGCGGCTTGAATGCACAAGATGGGTTTAGGGTTTAGGGATTTATGGCATCCCCATGCCCCGCAAGTCAATGAACCTACCACCACTCAGCTTGCTGCCTTTTTCCCAGGATGTGGCTTCCAGCCTAGTCCTGCCAGGCATGCCTGCTGTTTAGCCCGGCTGCGGCATCAGCAGATCGAATTTTTTTGCCAGTTAAATCCTAAACCCTCGACCCTAAACCAGTTTCATACCAGCAAGGCATGTCTGTGGGCTTCCATGCCTTGTGGGAGCAGCTTGGCTCACTGGGGGTTGGATCTAAACAAAGGCCAGACATGCTGATGCATGCCTTTCTGCATTATGCAACATTCCGTGATGTCCACTTACTTGCTCAGGTATCGGAATCTCATGGTTTTTGTCGCCAAGGCCTGATGTGTGATTGTGCTCTTATGAAGTAACCGCCGAGCGTGAATTGAAGATTCAGGGTGTGATACCGAAGCTTTCAATGCTCTTCCGGAAGCTTAGCCACTAGTCCGGTGATGTTGACCCCAAGCTGTACCAATATACGATATGCGCTACCCCATCATCAGGACTCCCCCCACGTCTGCGACCTCCCCACGCGGGATTTGGCCGCCACACTCGTTGCTTTCCTTGCCGCCGTTGGAGCTGCAGCAGCAGCAGCGATAGCTCTGCAGAGGCCATCTCTTCCACGTTCTGAAATTTAGGGTTTAGGGTTTCTTCCACATTTTGTGAGTGCAAAGGCATCATGCCGAGAGTTTCAACCCCTAATCTACAGAAGCATCCGCAGGGAAGGCCTTCTAAGTTAAAGGAAACTACAGGTGGTGAGTTTAGGGTATCTAGGGCTTCTATAAGGCTTCTATAAGGTATAGAGACCTTCTATAAGGCTCCTATCGTTATAGGGTAGCTACCCACCTGAAAATGTCCTGGACCAAGAAGCCTCCGGCTTGAGACCAGCTGCGGCTGTCCCTTCCCTGAGCCAAATAGCCAGATACGCATCAGCAATGGAACCACCCTTAATTTCCTACACCCCGAATACCTTAAACCCCGAATACCCTAAACCCCTAAACCCTTCAACCTCTAAAAAAAAACCCTACACCCTAAACCCTAAACCCTAAACCCTTCAACTTCTAAACTAAACCCTACACCCTAAACCCTAAACCCTAAACCCTAAACCTTAAAAGAAAAAACCCTAAAAGCAATGGAAGCCTGGAGTCCCACAAAGCCGTCGAACGCCGAGTCCTGGGGCGCTGAGTGCGGATCCCCGGGCCCTGAATGCAGCGTCAGCGTCCGGACGCTCATCGGAATTTAATTTCTCGGGTTTTGGGGGTTTAAGGGTTTTAGGGTTTTCGGGTTTAGAGTTTTCGGTTTTAGGGTTTAGGGGTTTAGGGGTTTAGGGGTTTTCGGTTAGAGTTTAGTCTAGGACATTTGCAGGTGGGTAGTTACCGTTATAGGAGCCGTATAGAAGGTCTATATACCTTATGGAAGCCTTATAGAAGCCCTACATACCCTAAACTCCTCACCTGTAGTTTCCTTTGACTTAGGGCTCGTCGGACTTCCACTCTCTTTGCTATCTCTTGGGGTAGTAAAGGCCGGCGAGTAGAGGGCATTCCAAGCTTCTACAGGTTTTGACGGTTTAGGGTTTAGGGTTTAGAGTTTAGGGCTTCATAGAAATCCCGAGCAGCTGGACAAAATACGTTCTGTTCGAGAGGGCTCAGTAGCCAAAGGAGCAGCAGAGAATCAACATCGCTTTGGCAACAGAATGTCTGGTAGAGCCCTAAACCCTAAACCCTAAACCCCTAAACCCTAAACCCCTAAACCCCTAAATCCTAAACCCTAAGCCCTACACCCTAAACCCCAAACCCTACACCCTAAACCCCAAGCCCTACACCCTAAACCCTAAAACCCTACACCCTAAACCCCAAACCCTCAAACCCTACACCCTAAACCGCAAACTTTAAGTAGCAAAGGACTCCGAGCAAGCTGCGGCCGAATGCCAGAGCCCTAGGATCCCTGAAGGGGCTTTGGGTTTAGGGCTTTAGGGTATACGGGTTTAGGGTTTAAGGGTTTAGGGTTTGGGGCTTTAAGGGTTTAGGGGTTTAGGGGTTCAGGGTTTAGGGTTTAGGGTTCCGGGCTAAGGGCCCAAATCCTAAACTTGGAACCCTGAGCCCTCTTGAGGCTCCAAGTGCTCTCCACACCGGCTGGGAT